AGAGCACTGAATGGGCGTGTGCTCTGATGAAGAGGAGCAGATTGGGCGTGTGCTCTGGTGAAGAGCCCTGAATGGGCGTGTACTCTGACTGCAGCCCACCTCATCTTTCTTTCTTTGTGTTTTTCCATGTCATCTTTCATTGGACGGAACGTTCGGTTTGAGAGAAAGAAGGGAGGAGCCAAAAGCAAGGGGGCGGAGTTGAGTTTCCATAGCTAAGACAAAAGAGGTTGCTGAGGTCCCCGGCAGAAGGAGGAAAGAGGTCACACACTGTACGATGCCTGTGAGAAATCCATCCAGGTGACGGCATTGGGCAGGAGGCTGGATACACGGTGAAAAGTGCACAGGGAAGCTCAGAACGGAAGACATACACTTGGGGAAGTCATGGACAGGGATGTTGGGCGGAGCCACAGGGTGGGGTGGGGGGCGCAGGGGAAAAGATGACAGTCAGAGTTCCGCCCGGTTCAGGGATCCAGTCCAGGGGCACCCCAACATTCAGGACGACCATCAAAGGAGACTCACGGGGAACAGCTTGTGAGGAAGTGAACGGCTGAAGTGGGTGGCCTGGAAGCCAGCTGAAGACAGCCCCTCTGGAAGGAGATGGTTTTCAAACAAACAGAACCAAGAATGACCACCGTGCTCGTCCACGGGAAGGTCACTTCACCGGTAACACTGAGGGGCAGATTTTGGAAAGAGTGGGTAGGACGCAGGCTGAATGACCACAAGAGCAGTGACAGAAGCAGCTGCAGTGGACCGGGGACAGACAGGCGTCTTTCAGGGGCTCTCTGATGGAAAGCCGAGAAAGGGGGTGATAAGCAGAAGGTGGTCTGAGATCTAAGGAAGGTTGTGGTAGACATTGGGTGCGTTCTCTGTGTATCTGTATTGGATGGGAAAGCGTGTTGAGGCAGTGAGTGGACATGAGGGGTGGACATGGCTCTAGAGCAGGGATCCTCAAACTGCGGCCCGCGAGGACATTTATCCAGCCCGCCAGGTGTTTCTGCTGCTACTGCCTGTCCTACTTAGCAGCCGACTCATCCAGTGTGCATAGGAATTTGTTCATAGTTTTTTTTTTAAACTATAGTCCGGCCCTCCAACGGTCTGAGGGACAGTGAACTGGCCCCCTGTTTAAAAAGTTTGAGGACCCCTGCTCTAGAGAGCCATGAGAGCAGTCTGTCCACTTTAAGGGGGAGAGAGTGGGACATGCCATTACCCAGACGCATCGGGCGTTGACTGGGCAGAAGGGAGGGCATGTGCTTCTCCTACGGGCTCATATTTTGCCCAAGAAGTGAGGGCTAAGGCGTCCGCCATGAGGGGGAAGATCTGCGTGGAAAGGGAAGGTGGGAAGCCGGTACTCGGGGGAAAAGAAAACCCCGTCATGAAAGTACAGTTAGCCTTATTCACACTGGGAGCGAGCCTAAGGAATGGCTACGCATTTCCTTCAAAGCACGTCTTTGCACTCCCCACCACCACACACACACATTGGTATGCTGTGTGTTTCTTACCGCACACTCTGAAATCTTTCCTGATTTCCCTTTGACCTAAGAGTTACTGAAAAATGTATCTATGGCTTTTCTAATATTTGAGAATTAGCTAATTTGTTCTGATGACTTTTCTCACATGATGAAACGTGGTATTTTGTGGATTTGCACATTGTTCTATCTCAATGAACAGTCCACAGAAACATGGAAAGTACGCCTTTTCTATAGCTTTGGGTTGGGTGTTCTAGAAACATCATTTAGGTCAGACTGTGTGGCAGTGCTGTTCAAATCATCTGACATCCTTCAAGACCTCTTATGTACTTGCCTGGTCTACCACTTATTGAAGGGCTCTTGTTAAAATCACAATGATTCCAGGTTTGTCCATTTCTCGATGTACTTTGGAGCTCTCTCATTCAGTGTACACACACTTAAGGCTGTGACTCGTGTTTGATCAGTCGACTCTTGGCCCTTCTTTCACAGCTGATTCTGTCTGATATTGATAGAGCCACACCTTTCTCGTGTTTACATAGCTCAGTTGTCCCCAAGGATCTGCGGGGATTGGTTCCAGGACCCCTGTAGAACCCAAGATCCACAGATGTGCATGTCTCTGATAC